TGGCAGCTTGAAGCAGCGAGCGAGAAAAATTCGATGCGACAGGTTGATCGGCTGCATAGGCATGAACCCAAGGCAAGGATGATAGCCCGAACCACCGCAAACATCACGAATCATCTTCTTGAGCTTCTCAATCGCAAGCAGTGTCCCCTTCATCTGTTCTGGTGACGATGCTCTAGACTCGGCATAGATACAACTGTTTGACCTTCGAACCGCAACCCAGCTAAAAAAGGCTTTATCAAAGATGGGGGCGCGCCTGCCTTCCGCTGCGTCCCCCCGGCCCTCCCTCTCCCGTTCTCTTGCTCTTCCCTGCCCTGTTGCCCTCCCCGCACCCCTTCCCCCTTCCCCGCCATACCATGGGTGGGAACAGCCGCAAAACACGTGCGTTTTTCGAGTGAGCCTCCGGGCGAGTCGCGCGGCCAAGTCGACAAATGCAGATCCGATGTTGCAGGGTCGGCCAGTGCCCGACCCCCCATTGCTGCTGAACTACTGCAAAGCAATGGCGTGCAAGCTATGCACCGCCTGAGGGGGGCGGGAGGGCATTCCACCGAGCGCGGCGCGATCCAGGGTGGGGCACAAAAATAAGAGCGTTTAAAGGCACGCACTATCGCGACACAGGCAGCCCGCATGTGTGATAGTTTGAGGCTGCGCGCACATAAATCATTCCTTCCTCGGTACTAGCGTGGGTCGCGAGCCAAGAGAGCGAGACAAAAAGGAGAGGACGTAATCAAACTTTTCAGGGCAGAACCCCTCTGATCACGTATTGCCTTCATTACCTCTCTGGCCTGACCTCCGGCCAACCTTTTGTGTCTGAAACCCGATGGCATTACATTAAGGAACCAGTGCCAGGATCCGAAGTGTCCTGGGTCACCCGGGATTTCTGCGCGACCCCCGCAGGAGCCCACAGACCCCGAGCTGCGCATGTCCAATTCCACACTCCAAGGTTCCAAAAGCAGCGTTTTGAACGACAAAACCATCGAAACAGTGCATACTGGGAACACACGAAAACCTCGATATTCATAGCATTTTCGTCTTTTGCCAAAGCCGAGAAAAACGCGCAAATGACCGAGATGGCCACGATAGACCCGGTCGTCCATCTCAGCCCTGAAGCCTATGCACTCAGAGCAGAAAGGGTAAACCCGAGAACCCAAAAACCATCCACAAAGCAAATCTCGCGCGAGCAGTGACACGAACGTTTGTAGCGCACGAAAAGGACCGCCCCCGGCGGTCCTCCTCAGATGCAGGACAGAAGTCACCCCGCCCCGGCCCCCACGCCGCACCTTGTATCGCGACCCGCATTGGTGGAACCCCGCCCGCATGCCACGCCGTATCGATACCACGTGATACCACTGCTCGATTCTCCCGATAGAGCACAGTTCACTCTCCCACGCTTCGGTGGATGGAACATCACCCCGGTCCGCGCCGCACACCGTATCGCGAAGCCGGCCGCAGCCCGTATCGCGAGTCATCGGTTGAAGGCAACCCACCCGCACGCCGCGCCGCACCCCGTGTCGGCACCGCGCCGCACCCCATATGTTGCGACCTATATCGGCGGAACCCCCCGCACCGCTCGCCCCCCGGATCGCGACTCATATATCGGTGCAACGCCGCGCAGCACCCCATATCGCGACCCGCCCGCGCGGCGGACGCCGGAGACTCATGTAAACGCTCATATAATGCCGCACCGCACCCAATACATCGCGACCTGCCCGCTGAAACGCCGCACCCCGTAGCGGGGGACGCCGCTTAAGACTCTGAACGCTCCTATGTATCTATGTATCTATCTATCTATCTATCTATCTATCTATATATATATATATATCTTATATATATATATTGATTGCATACATTGCATATATATATATATATATTGCTTTGCCGCACACCCTATCGCCACCCGCCGGTGGAACCCCGCACCCCGATGCGCGAGCATGCGCGAGCCGAAGGCTCTCTCTCAACGCTCTTATTGTGCGCACCGCAGCCTGTATCACGACCGCCCGGTGGAAGCCCCGCTCCACTGCACCCCGCGACCCCTAATTGCCGCGCCGCAGCCCCCACCCGGTGGAACCGCCCCGCCCGCACCCCGCCGGACGCTTTGGACGACGAAGACTCTCAACGCTCTTTTATTCCCGCGCCGCAGCCCTGAATCGTGACCCGCCCGGGCCCAATGGAAGCCGTTCCCGTTGCGCCGAAACTTCTAAACGCTTTTATTCCTGTGCCGCAGCCCGTACCGCGACCCGCCCGCGAAAAGGCGCCGCACCCGTATGTTGGGGGCCTGTGTCGGCTGCCCAGCGGGCTCCGCCCTGTGCGCCCGATATGCTCATCCATCCGAGCCTGTTTTTTCCTGGCAAAGACTCATCCCCCACAAACCTAAGCCACAAATCCAGGGAAGAAAACCCTCCCAACCCTCCCACTGTGCATAGATGTGCCTGCCACCTGAGCCGCAGGCTGCCGCTATGCAGACTGCCGTATGGGCTCTTAGGTTCGGATGCAAGAAGGACGCAGATCCTGCATGATAGAGTGCCTGGTAGCTCCTCGGTGGAGTGAGGACTTCCCCGGGCAGCCGACACAGGCTCTCATTCTGTACCACTACACCAACGAGCTTTCCGTGCCATCCCAGAATGCGTCAGTACATGTTTTTGAGCCGAGTCTGCAGTTTGCACGCGTTTATAAAATGAGGCAGCTCCTCTAGGCTCTCCCTGCAAGGCCCCATTTTCATGCAGTGTCCTTTATGTCTTTTGCTATCGGTTTGATCACATTGCAGGAAAGGTCTCACGAAGTGGGACTGATTGAAACATGAAGCAATTTGGTTATAATCCGTATATACATAAATGCCGCCTGAACATTGATTGGACGTTGACGTCACTATAAGAGTCTAACACCACACAAGGTGGGCATCCTGCTTGCTGGTCCCGCACAAACCGCGCCGATGTCGTGATATACATAAAGGCTGGCATTCGGATTCCGGGTTATGACGATTTCGACCTCCGGCTCATCTCTTCGTGACCCCCGTGTGCCTGCAACCTGCTCGTACCTCCATGCGCCAGCTTGTTTTGACGTAGTATAAATTGGTTAATTTCCGTCCCCAAACAATAGTTTGAACTACGAACTGTGAAAATCCAGAGCCTCCCCACATATTCAAACCTTCCCGTCTCCAATTTACTTAATTGTTAAAATTAGTTTTTAAGCATACATAAGCTGAATCGTGTAAAACGCGGGGAGTGGGTCACGGAAGGCTTCCGGAACGCCCCGAGACCCCGGTGCTTCCCGGGGATATAAACTGCTAAGATTATCTGAATTACTGTGTTTCATTCCCGTCCCATCTATTTAAATTAGTAAATCTGGAGGCTTCCCCCATATGTCCCCAACAAAATAATTCAAAAAATTCCAATCCCTGTGAGGGAGTCCGGGAAGGCTTCCGGAGGGGCCCCGAGATCCCGCGCCCCCTTCCCGGGATTTACATTATATAAGTTATTTAGTTCACATATTTCCCCTCACCAACTAAATGATTTTAAGCAATGCAAATCGGGAGGGCCTCCCCTATTCTTTGAATTTAATTGATTCCCGCGCCCAATTAAATACTTTCAAAATTGAAAAAGGAAGCCCCCGCCCGTATGTGGCTTTTGGTTCTCTACTTCGAACACCCCGGAACCTAAAACTGGGTACGTATGCCACCTGATTGCTGGGCTTATGTTACAACACGCAGTTCCAGCTGGCCAATAGAACGGGTTCAGTTGCACACGGGAGGGCAGGTGCGGGTGCTTTTGTGCGCCTGTCTCTCTTGCAGAGGTTTCCATTCATCGATTCGGCCTTGCTGCACTGGGGGTCCGCCCTCTTACAGCTACAGTGAGGACAGGCTTCCACCTCAAGGCCTTACCCGTGTCTGAGGTTAGCTACAGTGGCTGCGATCAACGGTGCATGTCCGGCTGGTGGCTGCTGCCTGGCGTTATGCTGTGCAGCTTGGCAGATGGAATAGATTAAAGGTGAAAGGTGGCGAGCCTACAGTATTCCAGCACCCTCGGGACTGTTTGTCAAATTCACATCGAGCGAATCGGTGTCCAAGGATTTAGGAATCTTGACGACCACAGGCAGGCCTCCCAAAGAAGCCCAAGGCTTGCCAGACCTTTCCGGGATTGATAACTTCGGCAGCCTATGTCTACGGCTTTACAGTTTAGTTGCGAGTCCAGACTGGTAAGCATAAGAGCGTCAAGTAGTTCGCAGGGGCCCTACAAACTATGCAAGCGCAGGCTCCAAACAACAGTGACATTGGTTTTGGTTGCATCACGACGACCATGACGACTGCGACCACTACGACAACCAGGAGACCACCAGGAGCACGCCAGGAGACCAACATAAAACAAACCTGGAGATAGTCTGGAGCCGCCAACAGATCGCCAGGACACGCCCAGAATGTTCCCCCCCCAAGTACTGGTGGATTCACGACCATGGCCGAAAGGCTTTCCCGCAAATACTTACGGGATTCAGGATCCGGGAGCGCGCCATAATGCTTCGCCCAAGGGTTAGCAGAGTGTTGGCGATTTCAGAGAGGAGGACAACCAACACCTTTCCCCCAAAAGCTGCTGCGATTCAAGGCTTTCAAGGCCAGAAAGTGATTCTTAACGTGATCCAACAGGAGCAGTGCCGGAGCGAACATTTGCGAACCAAGTCTCTTTACATCGAACGTGCGAACCCCACAAAAATGAATGTTAGCACACAAATAGGTGAATTTGAGACCGAAGTAGAGCGTTCAGCCATTGCAGATGTCGTGCAGGATTGGCGCATCATCACCTGGGAGGGCTCCATGGGCCTCAACGAGGCCTGTCGAAGAAGATGCCGTGAAGTCTGCGCAGAATGATGGCCCTGAACATTGGCGGCTGCTGCATGGAGTCGGGCATATGGAGCTCGGAGGGTGGGAGATTTCAAAGGTGTGGAACTGAAGATTTGCAGACGGATCAGCTACAGCGTATTTCTGGACGTTTTTTCGTAGAATGACAGAAATGACAATGTCCTGCATGATGTGCCCTGGCAATGCTTTGCAGGGGTGCATGCCTGTATGTGTGTCGATGTTCTGCTTGCTTGTTGCACGGGCATGTACCAATTGCAGAGTACTGCGTCGTGCATGGCAGCATAGCCTGGCTGACGAGCAGGACAGCAAGAGCAACCTGTAGTCACTGTAGTCAGCAAGTATCCAAAACCCGCACGTCATTCGACTCGAGCTTGTGGCGACCACATTTTCATGTTGGGTGCCAGTCTCCGGTGTCTTTGGTCTTACCCAAGAGGTCCTCGACCTGTCATCTTACTTGTTCGAATCTGTACAGCTTTACACAATCCTGGCATTCAAGATCCTCAGCCATGCAACCGGATACCCTCGAGTGGTTGCAGGTGGCACTCGGCATGCGCGTCCCCTACTACTGGTGTGAGTACTTGGGCTGTTTTTTCTTTCATGTTTCTTTTGAGGTGAGCCGTGGGCCCGTAGTAATGGCCTTGGAGGCTTAGCAGCAAAGGCTTTTCAGTTCGGGCTCGGTCAGCTGTGAAAGCGTGAAAGCTTGAGCCAGTCCCACAAGCCAAAGACAAAAGCCGGCGGTTCCTGGTGCCGCTGCGAATTTTGGCGAGCTCTCTCCCCAAAGCAGCAATGAACCCCGGTGCTTCTTTGGCATGAACGAGTTCTCTTTAGCTTTCAGGCGTGGCCTTTGAATCCCAGGCTGATGGCGAGAACGTGCGGGCAGCGAGCGGCAGAGGAGCCACCAAGAACCCCGTTATGAACTCAACTCCTCAGACGAACCACCAGAAACAGCTGTCGGGAAAGCTGTCGCAAGTTGCGATGCGAACCTTGAAAGAGCTCAGCATGCCATGTTGTTCCGAATAGTTGGAAATTTTGTTTGCTTAAGATTCTGTTGCTCGATTGCCAGATTCCCCTGCGGGGCCGATGCTTTTGAGCTGCATGCGATAATGCTACCATTTCCTCCTGCTGCTGATGCTGCTCCGTGTCCTGCAACTAGTCGCGTGCACATGCTACTCGGTACGACAGCGGCGCAGCGGCCACCACCCCATGAGCTCTTGTGCATCGTGCTATACACAGCTTGTCTCGGTGCAGTGGCTTGCATTGCCAGCGGAAGCAGGATCTGCTGCTAAGCGCCACGATGCCAACCTCGACGGATCTCCGGCAGCTGCCTCTCGGAAGGGTTGAGATTGTGGAGGAGCTTGGAGGTTTGCTGCGGTTTGGCTCAGAGGTCTGGGTAATGCCTCAACAGCTCGTCAGAAGTCTATCTGACCTGCCTGTCTGGAGACGGAAAAGGATGCAACCTTCTGCCTTGAACAGTCCAAGACTGTGTCTTCGAAAGGTTAGCCCCATTTGCCCTCACTGCCCCCCACCACATGTCCGTCGACTTTGCATCCACGAAAGAAGGCAACTGGTCGATGAGATCGTTGAGAAGCCTGAGGCCTGGCCACTGCTTCGTGTGATCGCTTTGCTTCAGGGAGACTGTACTCGTCAGTGTCCCGTCCCTGTGCCAACATTACAGCGCCGTGCTCGTTTGTCGTCTTGTTGATACTGATACTGGCTAGTTTTAGAGCATCGACAAGAGGTTGAGTTCTTGCGACGATCATCTCGGCTTGAGGTTTCTATTTACTTCAGGATGGTCACAGGCCGATTGCCCAGAGTGGTGCCCCTGGAACACGGTCTCGTTTCTTTAGTCGTCGAGAAACTGGAGCCGTTGTCAAGAGCAGCTGAAGCAGGAATTGACGTGCCGTAGTTGGAGTAGCGAACGTCGCGTTCGCATGCCGCCACGTGTTTCACTTGTTGAGGAAGCGTTCCCTCATCACGCTCATGACCATGTCGAGCACAAACCTGATAAGCCTACAAACGGTTGACCAGCCTTGAAATGTGCTAGCAGGTTTGATCTGAAGGGTTCGCAAGCTGTGAGACTTTCGCCGCAGATTCGGACACCCATGACATGAATCCTGGCGACCTGAGGGCATATCCCTTCTGTTCCCGCCTATCGGAAACTGCAGTACGGCAGGCTTTCATTCGGCTCTGTCTGTGCACATCTGTGCACGGTAGGCGAGTTAAGCTTGGCTTAGCTGAAAGACCTTGTGGGTTGTGGGTTTTGCGCAGGACTTGCTGCCAGCCGGTGTGGAGAAGCTGCAGAGATGGCTGAAGTTCCCCAGTGAGGCCGGGTGCCCGGCACATGACAAGTGAGCGCCACCCAGACGTTGAGATCGTTTCATCACTTGGTGACTTAAAGCTTGTCATTGCTTGTTTCGCTGCATTTTGGCATGCAGAGCGTTCCTTGTAAAAGGTGTGGCTCACTGATGTTGCCTTTGGGCTGCCGAAGGGGTAGGATGACCCGAGTGGGCCTGAAGGTCCAAGGCTTGAGCCCCGAGCTCCATATCCGAACCTTGGACCCAAGGCAGTCGATTCTGGATTATCGTTCTTGTTGCTGCAGATTCGGTTTTCTTTTCTAATAGACTGTGGACCCACAAGAAGCTGAGAGGATAAGAGAGGTGGCTTTGTTCTTGAGCTGTCGCCTCTCAGCGATGCTCTTGGTCTTTCTCCTCAAGGTTCAGCAGGCCACGTCATCAGAAAAATAAAAGCTGATCCAACACCTTCCCTGAAGACTTGGCTTACATGGCTTACATCCAAAGAAAGAGAATACTTTCGGCAACCTTGCACAGTCTCGGGTTTTGCCGCGGTCGGCTATGCACCTGCTACAACATGCTACTGTACACAATTTTGGAAGGCTGCTGAGACTCTGTGCAGCGACAATGCACGTTGGACCTCGTCAGATAACACAGCAGAAACACGTGAGCCGAACTTGTCCGCTGCGAGTCAGCTAGTCTTGGTCGCGGCAGCTTCTCTCCATCACTTTGGACTCAAGTGCGCGTGAATACTCCAAACGCGGCGATCGAGGCGACTAATTCGTACTGGTTTCGACCATGTCGCGCATCTATACTGCATAGAAGGCATATACCATGGTTCTACGACAGTTCTGGTGTCCCGTTCGCTTGGCTTCTTGGCTGGCCAGGGCTACGTGCCGACCAAGAACCACATGAGAGGCCGGAAATCTGTGCAGGAAGTCCCTGAACGCCCGAGCAAGTATTGTTAGCACCCGGACCTGGATGAGACTTCGAAAGTTTGTTTGGGGCAGGGAGGGAGAGAATCAGGCTTGGATTTGGAGTTGCCTTGCGGGTCGGAAACCAGGGCCCGCGCTTTGTCCGAAGCCAGCCACAATGAAATGTAAAAACACTGTATCTCCGGATTTCTGGGTGCTTGATATGCCGATGCCTCCGAAAAAGGTCACTAAAGGATCACTCTACACATGGCACCCTCTTCTCAATTGAGTGGTTGCGGACGGTTCAGTTGGATTTGGGATGCTGTGAACCCGTTGCGCTTGCGAGCGTTGCCACCACTCGTACCTCAGGTTCCGCCCACCGAGACAAAACAAAATCAATCATTCTGACGTGGAGGTTGTTGTGTGCACTCCTGTCTTACGGGTACCAGACAGACTGAGACTCAGGGCTCTTGGAGACCTTGGGAAGTGTTCCGATTCCTTAAGGAGTACTCGGCTGTTCGATTCACTTAGTACGCCCGGTCGTCATGTATGTGGACATGGCTTACTCGTACGGACTTCTTGCAGGAGCTTTCTCACGTGGGGGCATGTTACCAAGACGTAGCTGCATAAAGTGCCGAGGCTTTACGGTGATACTCCGCTCCGCCCTACCTGAAGCACATTTTTCATTGATTGGACCGGGCAGGAGACTTCGCCAAGCGATGGCGAGACGGGATCGAGTGGGAGGGGAAAGAGGCGGCCGAATCAATGGATCCGTGCTGCAGGAAGGGGATGCTTTCACAAGCTGCTGCCGTTGGCCTGGTTGTTTCCTTGGTCAACCCGCCACTCAAACCTCCCAAACCCCCGGCTGAACAGGTCTGGAAGGCCATCAACGACCCACAAACTGTGGCGACGCTGGGCCAGGCCGGATCAACAAAGCTTCGAGGCTCACGGAGGATGGATCTGAAGACCCAGACGAAACTTCCCAACAGGCTTTGTCCCAACACGCTTGTCCACGAGATGAAAATGCCATGCTCTGAATTCTTTGTTTTACCGACGTTTCCGCTTAGACATGCATGTGGAATGAGCTAAAACAGGATTGGCATCTAGCCTACAACCTGTTGTTGCAACAGTTTCCTTTTGCTAACCGCTAGCCGCGACACTAGAGACAACCTGTACAGCATAGCCCGTACCTTTGTCTGGGCGAGGTGATCAAGCGACTCTCTGGCGCAGGGAAGTCGAAGCTCTAGGGACTCTATGCCTAGGTCTTTGACATCCATGGTACCACCAGGCTTAGCGCCTGCATGGCCATTCTCAGTTTCAGCTCACGCTCTCTCGAGGCTCGTACATGCAGCTTGCACACAACATCATAACAACCAATCATGCAAGGAGAGAGCCTGAGCTTGCAGGGCTCGCATGTTAGAGCCTGACGATGTGCAGGGGCTCGAGAAAGGCTCCAAGCGGGATGTCGCAAATTCCCGCGGCAAAAAAGGCAGCCGATTGCTTGGATGCTGCATGATGGCAAGGCACATACTCTTGTTGATAAAATTAATTGCTGGGAATATCGATTGAAGCTCACATGGATAGTACTCCAAGACTCCAGGAAAGAAGCATGCTTTGACAGCCTGCACACATGAAAGGTGTAATGGCACAGAGACATCTTGGCCACGAGCAACAGCACATCTGTCTCATGCATTGGAAATTGAAAGCTTGACAATCTTCAAGATAGACTCGCCATATCAAAAACAGCGGTGCGAACCGCATACGGTAACCCTGGCCTACACTGCAGCGACAGTCGAGTCATGCAGATCGGCCTTCGCGCAAGACACGTTCGCAGTGCCTGGAACGTGAAGTTGCCACGCATGTGGGACGACCGCTGCTGTTGGTTATGCTCTTGCTCAAGAATTCATTGCTGGCTCCGACGTGGTGGTTTATCGATACTTCCATTCCGTATACTTAGCCAATGTAGAGCTTCGCTTCGTACACGTTGCCACATGAATTAGAGCACAGTTGGACTGTAACTGTGTTGCAGGTTTCCGTTTCCTTTACAGATTCAGTACGCTGTTGTTGAAAGGTAGGGTGAAGGACCCTTGATCTCGCTACACTAAGCACTGTTCCGACATACATAGGATCAACAGGTCCGCAGAGCGAGACACACATCCGGTTTTTCGCCCTTTGCCTGGGCCGGCAACGTGTTAATGCATGAATGGCCTTGGCTGCACAAGATGTGCCTGAGAGGCGAGGGTGCTGCATGCAAGACCCTGCCTGCTGATTCGTCAAGCACGAGTGTCTGACTGCCTTAGAGCAACTTCAATCCAGGACGCTTTCAAGCCGTCATTTAGTCTCCGAAAGGCTGAAAGCCTTGTGAATCCTGTCCAGCGCAGTAGCAAACATGGCCGGGAATGCCCCACGAAGGCGAAGGTGCACAACCAGCGTAGGTGCTTGGGGGTGACAACGCCGCGACGGTTCTCCAGAAGCACCGTATGCTGTAGTCAAAACATCCGGGGGCAGGGGGGGGGGGGGGGGANNAAACAGACGTTTACATCGATTCTACCGCGCCTGCCACACGAAGCAGATTTCGTCCTGGATGTTTTTGCGTTTGCAGTTTGGAAACGTGTAAAACTCGAGTTTTTTGGGCACGCTAGTCGCGCTTACGGCCTGGTGAGGCTCTTACTCGGGAAGTAGTAGATTGAAAGTAGCATTGGTGAACATACCGAAATACCAAGCCTGTCACGAAACAAGGCTTAACGTAGGATTGAGAATCTACTGAAGCAACCTGTCGCGTGACATGATATGTCATGATATAAAAGGACATGTGATGATGCGATTTGGCATGTCACACGCCGGGTTGATTGTCAACCCTATGTTAAACCCATGTTTCGTGTGCCAAGCATGGTACTTTCAGTATGTTGGCCAGTGTTACTTTCAATCTGCTACTTCCCGCCTACGAGCCTCACAGGGTATCTTGAAACGTAGAACGTCATCCCCCCCACCCTTCCCCCCACCGGCAAGAAGAAGCAAAAAGTAGGCGGTTCTCCCGCCATGTGCCAGAACATTGGCAGATGACAGGCAGTTGGCGTATCTGTGTCCGTGTCAAGGAAGCTGCCAAGTTGTGTTGCAAACTGTTTCGTTTTGTCATATGTGTGCAGGTGTGCCCAAAGCTTCAATGACACCTCCTCGTTCCTGAAGGCAAGTCAGGGCTTGCTGCCACGGTCAGTTTTAGGCTCCCGTTAGTCTGGTTGCGTGGGAACTAACTACGCAGCTGCCCTCACTCTGGAACTCGGTTCGGGCCCAAGCAGCTAGGGCCAGAGTCCCCAACCAAGCTCGGCAAAGCGTTTCGTCTTTCTTCCTCGAGTTGGCACCTCTCAGTCTTCAGCGTTCGGCATCAGCCCGCCTCCATGGCAGCATACAGCCCGAGATAATGACAGCAGTCTATGAAATTCAATCCCGGGAACATCGCCGAACCAGCGCGCCCAGGCGAGTCCGACATCACCGGGTCATGCATCGAGAAGCAGGCCGAAATTTGGGGGAAGTCTTTTTGCAAACGGCGGCTTTAGGGTGATTTTCAGCTTTCATCATGGATGCCATGCCATTGGATGCCCCGTCCAAGCGTGCTCCATAAGCCTTGCTGAAGGTTCGATGAATTGAGAAGGCAGTTCCCAAGGGTCCTCACAGGGCCGTGTAGCCTTCATCCCTCGAGAAGCGTGGCAGCGGAAACTCCCGAAGTCGACAGCCCAGAGGAGCCAACATGGTACTGCCGAGGAGAGTGGTGAGGCCATAGCCCGCCTTTAGAAAAGGAGGGGGTTGTTGGTCTTCGTGGGCTGCCTCACTCGTTTTGCGGAGGTGATGGAGTGGTTTCTCAGCAGGGCGAGAGGAAGGGTGGAACGGAAGTACAGTAGATGTTGAGCCTTCCAGCCGCTCAGTCTTCGAGGGAAGGTCGAGGAGACCGGCGAGATGAAGCCGTCGGATCCCATCGCGTCAAAATCTCGGAGCGGTAAATCCTCGCCTTGAAACGAAGGTCCACAACAACCAACTCGTACTGTCGCTTCAATGAGTCATGCGGATCGAACTGTGGATCATTTGCCGGCTTCAGCCAAAGTCTCTGTGCTTGAGGAAAGCCCTGCCAGACCACGTTCAGCAAAGTCCTGGCGGCGTGAGGAGCGCTTCGGCCAAAAGGTAATTCGAAGGGGATGTTTCAGTATAGCGGGCAAGTACTCGCCATGTATGGGAAAAACGATGAAAGCTCTTGTGCTTGTCAGTGAAATGCAGGCATGTGCACAAGTCACGAATTCGAGAATCAGGAGCAAAGGAGCGGGGTTCTCCTGAGGTCCAGACGGTTCCGGGCACGTGTGTGCCAGCACTGACTAAAGCCACTAAAGGTTTTGATGTTAAGATTCAGCCGAACGTAGCGACCGCGGGGTGAATTGGCTAAACCAGCTGGCAAAGCCAAAGTCAAATTTAACTGCCCTCGATGGGCAGTGATTGGAAGGAAGGCTGAAACCCGAAAGCGCTTTGGCAAATTTGGGCACGGGACTTGAGGCCGAAGTGATTCGCCTCTGCCTCTGGCGTTCCAGCCGAGCACAACAATCGCTTCCTCGGGGCCTAAATAGCCGAATAGCGGGGAAACCCGGCTAGGTACTCGCACCTCAAGCTCCTCACTCGCACCTCGAGTTTTGCAGGGGACGGGTGCCACATGTTCAGGGAGATGTACAAAAGCTTTCCATGACGCTCGCCGGACAAATGGGCGTAAGAATTGAGATGGGCTCTGGCCCCGCACATCAACAGCCGTTACTTCAGCGTTTGTTTGAGTCCACACCCAAACCGGCCCGAACCTGACCTCAGCACGGACCGTTGGCCGCCTAGGCTGCAGTGTCTGGAGATGGTCCTGCGGAGGCTTCCTTGCACAGGGAATCCGGGACTAGATGATCTTCTGACATAGACTAGATCAAGCAATGCAGGTTGGACGCAGGTGGGAAAGTCAAGCATGTTCAAGCTAGGCTACAAGAAGAAACAAGTCTGGGAAGCCTTGGAAGCTTCTTGGCCTGGGCTTGGAAGACGACTGCGGTGATTCGGAAGCTAAACATCCCTCACATGCCGAGCCGGTTTTCTGCAGCATCTCAGGGCTTAGGACTGCCTGCATCCTGAAGTCGTACAACCACCGACATGCATATCCACCTGCATCAAGCACCGTTCCAACACCAAGTGATCTGCACAGCGAAAGCAAATGCTGAAAGTATGACCTTCAGCTGTGCTGATCATGCTGATTTGAGGGCGCCTTGCCTGACAAAGCAGGAGCTGCCGAAAGGAGGATCGACTTGCAGCCTCATGGCGGCGGAAATGTTCAGGTTTTGAGGACAGACAACAGGTGGGCAAATCAACAACGACCCTTTTGTCTTATTGCGGTTGGGCTTCGGCTTCGAGGGTTTGGGTTGAGGCTCGAGGCTGCTCGAGTGAGTTTGCGACCTGAAGTCGAGACTATACTTGGAAGGGCGTGGGGTTTAGTATGTACACTCTAGATACTATTTACATGGTTTAAATGCCATACTTAGCCAAGCT